CGGTTTGTTGTGGTTCCTCGGACTGATGAAGTCCTTTGGATGAAGGACGAAATGTCTCAACAAAAAAAGTATCCATATGACCTGACTAAACTTTATTGGATTTTTTAAGATGTGATAATATGATAAGATAGCTGGATTAGTGAGCATGAACTTTTGATGTTCTGAACCACTTTGGCGTTGGCTCCCTCAGGAGCAGACAGGGGAGAGGGTGGCCCCAGAAATCGTCTTATCACCAGCAAACTTGTTGGTCCACTATGGGAGTGTGCTGCTTGTGGGACTTGGTTTTTTGTGGCTCCTTGGACTGATGAAGTCCTTTGGATGAAGGACGAAATGTCTCAAAAAAAAACTGCCCAGATAACCTGACTGAACTTTTTGGATTGTCTAAGATAAGATACCTGGATTATTGAGCATGACCTTTGATGTTTTGAACCACTTTGGCCATGGCTGCCTCAGAGGACTCGACGGGGGAGAGGGTGGCCCCAGAAATCGTCTTATCACCAGCAAACTTGTCGGTCCACTATGGGAGTGTGCTGCTTGTGGGACTCAGTTTGTTGTGGCTCTTCGGACTGATGAAGTTCTTTGGATGAAATGTCTCAACAACAAAATAAACCATCCACAGGACCTGACTGAATTGTGTTGGAGTTTCCAACAATATGGTTGTGTTCTGTAACTGTTTTTGCTCGTTTCTTCATCTGTTTTCAAACTTTTCTACTGAGAAGTCAAAACTGTCGCCATGTTGCTCTGACAACTGAAACAGTGTGTTTGTTTGTTAATGGCTGACAGAACAACCATCAGGGAGAATGTGGATCTCATTCGTCTACAAAAGCAGCTCTCTGAAAAAAGTGCATCCCTGAGAGTCAGCCAAGAGAAGGTCAACAGTTTGCAGGAGGTCAGACAGTTTCTGTCTTCATATTTCACAGCTGTTTCATACTTTCAGCTGATCACCTGTCTTTCCTTCCAGGCTTATGAGAATCAGCTTGAAGAGGTAAAAATATGCATGTATTAATTCTAATGGATACTTCTGATGCTCAGGTTAATCACAATCATGTCCTGTGTTCACCCCAGACTCAGAGGTCACTAAAGGAGAGCCAAGGGGCTCTGCTGGAGAAAGTGGAGGAGTTGACTGAACAGCTGAAGCAGGAAAGACAGAAAAGTCTGACGCTGGATGGACAGCTCACCACCACCACTCTGTCTCTACAGGCCCTAGACAAGGCAACACATTATATATCTTGGGTTCACAAGCCCTGTTAACAAAGACCCACGTGTAAAAACAGAGGGATGATACATAATTAAAGCTGTGGGATGATCTGTGATGCTGTCAGGTTTATTTTAAAATCTGTTTTTTTTTCTCCTATTTTAGCTCCAGGAGAGGATATCAGACCTGGAAGGAGAGCGAGACACGATTAAAAAAAGCTATGACACCCTATTGATGAGGTACGGTTTGAAAAACATGACGGGAATAAATTCTGTCAAATTTTATTCATAACGACCTTTGACCTCAGCCCTATCAGAAGGTAAATTATATAGACATGGGGGTTCTCAAACTTTTTGGGTTCAGGGACGCCGTCATACGCTAAACTAAGAATACGCTAAGCACTAATAGTACAAAAACAATACAACGAACAACAGCAGCACGAACACGAGTCTGTGTGAGCAGATGAGGACGAATGAACACAGCAACATAGGACCTGTTCTTTAATAGTGTTAATACAATCTTTATACGTTTAAACATGGGGCATTTTTCATTCAAGACACACTTAATGAACTAATTTTTAATTTCAACTTCCAAAAATTACAGTTTTGAGAAAATGAACAGTATCAAAAACCACTTTAGAACTTTACATGTTCACATATCGAACATAATTCATGTATTGCCACTTCTTCAAATTATTACAGAAAACTCTTTACATAAAACTGAACAGAATCATCCCAGCAGTAGACACACCAAGTAACAGAGATTATTTATTGATCGATGCCAGAACGCAAATATCAGGGGGGTGGGGCAGAACATTTGAAATAAATTAGATGCAATTTCCTGCATTTTTTTTTTTTTTTCAAACTCCTTATTAAAGTCAGTAACTGGACTGTGACTGCAAACATTTAAAAACAGGAAATTTCAAAGATGTCTTTAAAACTTTTTGGGGTGTTCTTAATTTCCATGTGTGATCTGCTGGGCCTTGTACTCGAGCTACAGGAATTTTGAACGTGTTCAAAATATTTGCAAGGCTAATGTTCTTCTAAAAAAAAAACTTACAGAGTTACACGGACGTCCAAAACCCCTCAATTTAGTTTCTGCAAGTCTAGAGCGCCAGAGCTGTATTTCTTTGTGAGTTGCCACATGTTTAGCTGTGACTCTGTATTCACTGTTTGTGAAGCAAAAATGTACACGCATTTATTTTAACTGTTTTCCTTTTATTTATTTATTTTCCTTTTTTCAAATTTATTTTAAAACAAGATGTGGTCAAAGTTTTCTATTGTATTAAAAAGCTTCTAAAATGTATTACGGTTCATGAACAATAGTTAAGTACGAACAAAGAACATTCCGAAGAAGCGCACAAACATGAATTTTTATTGGTACAAAATATATGTTGAAGTGCATGTGCACAAGATTTATCTATATTACGCATTTGTTGTGTCACTATTGCACATGTCCGTCACATTACCATGGAGTTGCAAAAACCAGTTTGCAGTCTTGTTGCGCTTATTTTGTTGATTAATGGCTCTATTTTTGTTGGAAGTTTTTGTAAATATATCATAAGTATCAATTATGTGCGACTCCGAGTGAAATTTTCTGTATTTCATTTGAAATTTTGTCTCAAACCAGTTCTTAGCACTCCCAGTCCAGTAAGATACTTCCTAAAAGCAAAGTTAATGACATCCAAAAGCGCCTTTCACTAATAAAACGTCGAGCCCTTTCACGTGAATGTGACTTCCTGTCTGAATTATAGCTGAAAACATCCTGATCACGTTTTCTGTTGGGTTTTGTTTTAGTGCTTTGTCTACCCACAGCAGCCGTAATGACCAGGATGAGAAACTCAGAGAGGTGGAACAGAAGGAGAAGTTGGTGGAAAACATCTGCAGTGAGGACGTTCAGAGACTGGAGGGGATGCTGCAAGCAGAGAGGGAGGAGAGGAGCAAGCTGGGGCTGGAGAAGGAGAAACTGAGACAAGAGAAGGAGACGCTCGAGGAGCAGAGAAAACAAGAGGAAGGTTAATGAATTCACTTTATTTTATTATATTTATTTAGGGGTTTTACTACTTGACAAAAACACCTGAAGACTCTGCAGAAACTTAATATTTCTTCACATTCAGACTTGTCTGTGTGGATGAAAGAGAGGCAGGAGCATCTGGAACAAGAGGTTGTCCATTACAAACAGCAGGTCTTCACTCTGCAGAACAGACTGGACTCCATTTCTAAGGTTAGAATATAAAATTAGAGTCTCATCCTTTTTGTATGTTATATCACACGATGTGACGCATCTCTCCTCTTTTACAGGAGTTCGACATGAGCATCGAGGAACTCAGTGAAACTCTTGTGCAGATCAAGGTCTGAACCTTTTTGAGCTGCTTTAAACAGAAGGACTTGAAATGTTATCCCATTACAGTGATGCCACGTTGCCTCTCCTCCAACTGCAGGCCTTTAGGATGCAGCAGGAGAGCAGGGAGGGCCTGCGCTTCCTCTTGGCTGATGGAAAGGTGGAAGATTCAACCAGTGAGCTCGTAAATATTCAGGCTTCTTATGCAGAGACTGTGCTTGAGCTACAGAAAACCAGAAACCTGCTGCTGCTGGAGCACAAAATCACCACAGACCTGCAGGTAAGCACATTTTTATTGTACACAACACATACATACATATACATACATATACATACATATATATATATATATATATATATATAAAAATTATATAATTAGGGTGTATATATATTAGTGGTCCCCTATTGTTTTAGGGAGGGGTGGCGCAGAGGTTAGAAGGTGGGCCTGTGATCGGAAAGTCGCAGGTTCACCTCCTGGTATCATCAACATCAAAATGTGGGTGGAAAAGGTGAAACACCCGCACCTGCCTCCACCCTCATTTGCCCCATTCTGGGCCCCTAAGCAAGGCCCTTAACCTCCACCATTTGCTCCCAAAAACAGGTCTCTCTCTTGAAAATGAGTTTGTGTGACTCAATGAAACAACCTGTATAAATAAAGGGTAAATAAATTAAAAAATGTGTATAGGACAGCATCATCTACATACAGTTGAACAAATTTATAATGTTCTGTTAAATCACTAACAGTAAATCAGCTGTACCTACATAGCATGTCTTTCCAGTCAGGCTACTCAAAGTACTTAAAAAAAAAATCTGTGCCCTTATTTGCTCATCTACACCCTTATTTATACATCACTCTACTGTCACAGTTTGTGCCATGTATTCAGTTTTTCTGTGATCCTTGTATATGTTTTACTTGTGTTTTACTTTCTCCTGTGCTCCCTGGGTCATTTCTCATTTCACCATCAGTCAGCTTCCTCGGTATTTTTCTCCAGTCAGCCTGCCACCTTGACCTGTCCCCAGTCAGTACCGGTAATTTTCATTCATTCATTCATTCATTCAACCTTTATTTAAACAGATAAGTCACATCGAGCCTCAAAGACTCATTTACAAGTATGACCTGTTTGGAGAGAATAAAAAGTGGTGGAAAAAAATGACATGTAAGGTTTGGAAACAAACAAAAAAAATGTCTAAAATGCTTTTAATCTTTGGCTGAAGGTCAACAGTATGATAATAATTTAAAAAAATCTTGCACAACAAGCACATAATGATGCCGACATTCCGCGGGGTACGGGGGAGATGCAAGGGTGGTGAGCATGTCCACACAACGCACAAAGGCACTGCAGCGTTCCGATAAAATCACTCAGTTCAAACAGTTCCCTCTGGAGAGATCCATACACACTCGGAGAGAGGTGGGGTGCCGAGGACGGCCAAAGACAAATCCAAAGAGTCCTGAAATGATGACAGAATGTTTATTCAGCTGGACCCCTCTGAAAAGTCCATGGAAATTCCTCGGTAGAAGGGGAGGGAGGGGCAGAGCTTCAGATTTACAAAACTTCCAGGTGTATTGAGATAAGATGGCCTGTCAAGGCCAGTCAGGGAGCTGAATTCAGATAAACACAATTGTTCTGGGGACAGGCAGAACTTGAAAGACATCTACCTTGAGTCTGTGTCAGTCCACTCGGTTCTGAAACGTCCAAATTTGTGATCTGTGGTGAGAACAGGGAACTAGTGTAAGAGAACTTAGAGAGGTGGAGGTATACACTTGAAAGAAGAGGAATGAAAGTCATCCGTAGTAAGACAGAGTGCATGTGTGAATGAGAGGGAGGCCGGTGGAACAGTGAGACTACAAGGAGCAGAGGTCACAAAGGTGCAGGACTTCAAGTATTTGGGGTCCACTGTCCAGGAAAATGGGAAGTGTAGTAAAGAGGTGAAGAAGAGAGTCCAGGCAGGATGGAGTGGACGGAGAAAAGTTTCAGGAGTGATTTATGACAAAAGGTGTCAGAAAGGTTAAAAAGAAAAGTTTACAAGAAGACCAATTTATGTTGTATGTTCTGGAGACAGTGGCATTGACAAAAAGACAGGAGACAGAACTGGAAGTAGCAGAAATGAAGATGTTGAGGTTCTTCTTAGGAGCGACAAGGATGGATAAGATTAGGACTGAGATCATCAGAGGTACAGCACAGGTTGGACAACTGGGAGATAAAGTTAGAGAGGACACACTGAGATGGTTTGGACATGTCTGGAGGAGTGACAGTGGGTATATTGATAGACGGATGCTAGAGATGCAGCTGCCAGAAAAAAGACAAAGAAGACCAAAGATTATATATGGATGCAGTTAGAGAGAACATGGAAGATGCAGAGGACAAAATGAGATGGAAGATGTTTTGCTGTGGTGAACCCCTGAAGAGGGAAACACTGAAAGAAGGACAAGAAAACATTTGAGCATTTTGAGTTTTGGTTTTGCATTTGGGTTCTGATTTTCACCAAACAATACTCTACTGTATTTCTACAAAAATTATCCGAAAAACTCCTTCCGTTAAATTTAATCAGTACTTTAGAATGCAATCATAAACCAGTGGGACACATAGGAGGCAATGAACAACAAAGTCCATGCTCAATAATCCAGATATAAATTCCAACATTTTTCAGTCAGATCATCTGGACAGTTTCTTTTTTTTTTTGTGCCAAAGCATTTCGCCTTCAATCCGGAAGGATTCATCAGTCAAGGAAACACACAACAAATTTGATTCTTCCCCCAACAGCTTACTCCAAAGTGGAACAAACCAGTTCTGCTTGTGATTAGATGGTCTCTTTGGTACGCCCCTCCTCCATTGCCGGTCCTCTTCCTTGTTGACGGTCTTGTCAAACTGGTTGAAAACAACAAAGTCCATGCTCAATAATCCAGGTATACAATCCAACATTTTTCAGTCAGGACTTTGTTGTTTTCAACCAGTTTGACAAGACTGTCAACAAGGAAGAGGGCCGGCAATGGAGGAGGGGGCGTACCAAAGAAACCATCTAATCACAAGCAGAACTGGTTTGTTCCACTTTGGAGTAAGCTGTTGGGGGAAGAATCAGTTTTGTTATGCGTTTCCTTGACTGATGAAGCCTTCTGGATCAAAGGCGAAATGTTTCAGCACAAAAAAAAAGAAACTGTCCAGATGACCTGACTGAAAAATGTTGGATAGGAGGCGATGGTTCTGGTTTTTGCCCATTGACAGTTGTGCTGGGAATAGAACCTCCAACTTGCTTGTTGGACTCAAGGACAACTGCGCCAACCACTGATCCACATCCTTACCCTTAACATATAAGCAAAAGTGCAATGGTTGGAAAATTATTCAATGTGAAACTCCCATTTTGCAACTTTAAACGTTCAGTTATCTCTTACACGGAACTCATATAATACTTGACTTTAACTCATTTTTTCCCCCAATACCTAAAAAAGTTATTTTACTCCACAAGGAAGAGTTAAATACAGTCAACCAAAAGGCAGAAAGAGACAAGGAAGAGAACAGGAGGAGGACAGCAGAGAAAGACAAACTTTTAGCTAAAAGAACTCTTCAGATCAACACTTTACAAGGTATATCTACATCTCTAGTGAATGTCGTATCAAGACAACCCAGTGTATTTGATAATTATTTAAAACCTCTATCTGTGTCTGAAGCTCAGTTAAAAGAGTTGGCATACAGCCCAAGGAGCTACAAACGAACCATACCAATACAGTACACCTGGCCAGCAGGAGACCATGAAGTGGTCCAGCCCATCGAAGATGATCTGAGTTTTTCTCAGCTAAAGGCTGGAGAGTCACTGTTGGAGATCCACCTTAAGGTGAAACGTTACCCTAAATACCTCTAATCAGTTTACCCAGAGAGCTGATGTTGGTTTTGTACCTCTAGGCTGCCACCTTCACCCCCACAGGGCTCCGCATCATGAGTAACATCCATCCAGGAGTGGACAGAAGTGAAACTATTGTGACCTTCTGCACCTACTGCCTGTTGGACTTTGAAATGCACTCCACTCCTCTCGTGTCAGGAAGCCAACCAACCTACGGCTTTACGTCCCGCTACGCTCTGACAGCCCGCGATCTGGGCAGGCTGGGAGGTCAGGGGTCGAGAGTGCAAGTGGAGCTCCACCAGGCGTTAGGGGGAGTCCGGTTTGTCACCCATGGAAGTGGACACATGTTGCTCATGGGCGCCATGGAGAGGAGAGGAGAGCGAATTGGTGGAGGTGTCAACATCAAAGGTATATTTAGTGGATCTGATGCTGGACTTTTTCCTGATGCATCATATTCCCCACTCATTAGAAATACAAAGATGTTGTTAAAAAATATTAAAAATGAAGTTAAAAAGGTCTCCTTTTGTAGGTCATGAGGGCGAAATCTTTGGTGTTGTGGATTTTTGGGTGCGTCTTTTCCCTCCGGCAGAACCCATTGGTGCTGTGGCAGAGAGCGCAGCTGAAAGGAGAACAGTAACTCAGAGGAGCCAAGCTCAGATTATGCTCGGCTGGCAAGACAGCGTTCATGAGGTAAAGCTCAAAAAGATTATTTTAGTTACGTTGCTGTGCAATGCAGTGGTATTTAAACAAGAACAAGATCATAAGGAAATACAAGTAACTAACCTTTTAACCATATATTTGGAGCTGTGGCATGAATATAGATCTATTTGTATCTGC